CAAGATGTAGTACACTAAAAGAGAATAATTATATCAAACTTAAGCAGCAGATAGCGCTAGAAATTGGACTAAATAAAATCCACACGTGGTTGGAAAAAATGACAAAAAAGCATATAGACTTGAAACCAGAGATATTTTTATTGGGAATTTTACCTGATATATATAGTAAAGATTTAAAATATTTGATTGTAAATGTATTAACAGCATCTAGATTGTATCCAGATTGTATTTGCCAAAAACTGGAAAAATGAGAAAATACCATTACAGGAGGAAATCATTAAGAAAATATTGGAATGTGCTGAAATGAGTAGATTGACATTTGAAATCAGAGAACAAGATGATAAACTATTTTATAAAATTTGGGATCTATTCTATCAATGGTTAGACAATAAAACATGGTAATGAAATATGTAGATTCTTAGAAAATAATAAATATATAAAGATGTATTATTTTCTTATTATATCTACAAAAGGATTATAGGATAGATTTGAGATGATTATGAACTGTCATAAAACAAATTAAGTAAAATATGGATTATTTTGTAAAACATGAATGAATAAAAGTATAGTCAAATGTTTAACAATGATATTAATGTATTTAATACTTGATTGAAAATATGAGAATATATACAATGTAATTGTAATTGAAGACTACGAAACAGAAGCACAAAACAATCTGTAAACCAACCAACATACTGTATGTATATATATATATGGAAGATGGCTTGATGTTTTTATGTTTTGTCTGTCTATGTTTGTCTTAAAAACCAATAAAAATCTATTTAAAAAAAAATCCTGGAGCACCAGGGAACTACCAGAGGACTGGAAAAGAGCTGATGTGGTTCCCATCTTCAAAAAAGGGGGGAAAAACAGACCCAGGAAATTATAGACCAATCAGCCTAACATCAACACCTGGGAAGATAATGGAAAAGATAATAAAAAAACAGATTTGCCAACGTCTAGAAACAAGTAAAGTAATAACTAGCAGTCAGCACGGGTTTGTTAAGAACAGATCATGCCAAACCAATTTTATTTCATTCTTCAATATAGTGACTAAATTAGTAGACCAGCAAAATAATGTGGACATAATATATTTAGATTTCAGCAAAGCATTCGACAAAGTAGACCACAACCTACTTCTTAGTAAGCTAGAAAAAATGGAATAGATAGCATCATCACTAGATGGACTCCCAACTTGCTGGCAAACCATACTCAACAAGTAGTCCTTAATGGGTCTAAGTCTACATGGAGGGAAGTAAGTAGTGGGGTGCCACAAGATTCAGTCTTAGGCCCAGTACTCTTCAATATCTTCATTAACGACTTAGATGAAGGAATAGAAGGGGAACTTACCAAATTTGCAGATGATACTAAGCTGGCAGGAATAGCTAACACCCAAGAAGATAGGCTCAAGATCCAGATGGATCTTGACAGACTAGAACACTGGGCCATATCTAATAAAATGAAATTCAATGTAGAGAAAAGTAAAGTCCTACACTTAGGCAAGAAAAACCAAAAGTACGCATATAGACTGGGTAAAACCAGGCTCAATAGCAGGAGCTGTGAAAGGGATCTTGGAGTCTTAGTGGACAACAGCTAAATATGAGCCAGCAGTGTGCAGCAGCCGCCAAAAAAGCTAATGCACACCTAAGTTATATTAACAGAGGGATACAATCAAGATCAAGGGAAGTACTAATACCACTCTATAAAGCCTTGGTAAGACCACACCTAGAGTACTGCATCCAGTTTTGCTCACCACATTATAAAAAAGATGTTGAGTCTCTAGAAAAAGTATAGAGAAGAGCAACCAGGATGATTAGGAGACTGGAGGCTAAAACATACAATGAACGGTTGCAGGAACTGGGCTTGGCTAGTCTGGTGAAGAGAAGGACCAGGGGAGACATGATAACAGTCTTCCAATATTTGAGGGACTACCACAGGGAGGAAGGGGTCAAGCTATTTTCTAAAGCGCCTGTAGGCCAGACAAGGAATAATGGATGGAAACTGAACAAGCAGAGATTTAACCTGGAAATAAGGAGAAACTTTCTGACAGTGAGAACAATTAACCAATGGAACAGCTTGCCCTCGGAAGTTGTGGGAGCGCCATCAGTTGAGACTTTCAAGAAGAGATTGGACTGCCATTTGTCAGAAATGGTGTAGGGTCTCCCGCTTGGGTGGGGGATTGGACTAGATGACCTATAAGGTCCCTTCCAACTCTGATTATCTGTTATCTGTTAAATATCTGATTTATGTAACCTGCATTGATTCACTTAACAACCATGGGGAAAATGTTGCAAAATTAGGAATGACTCACTTAACAACCATCTTCTTTAACAATGGAAATTCTGGTCTTAATTGTTGACATAAATCGAGGAATGCTTCTATAATATTAGTTCCTTTCACCCAATAACAGCTTATGAATATAGAAACTATTATGTGTCCGACCAGTGTTTCTCAACCTTGGCAACTTTTAAAATATGTGGATTCCAATTCCCAGCCTTCTGGGTATTGAAGTCCACACATCTTAAAGTTGCCAAGGTGGACTATTGGTCCATTAGATTAGATTATTAGACTATTGGTCGATTAAATCAATATAACTTGCTATAGTTTGAAAAGCATCTTTCATTACCTCCCAGATAAATAGCAGTATCCAACTGATCTTCAGTGATCTTGAAAAATAAGCAGAGTAAGATCTGGTGATTATTTTGTTGGGAGATCACTAGGGAATCCCAAGACTTTGAGCTAAACTAGGGTACAGGTAGTCTTCGAATTATGACTACAATTGAATCCCAAATCTCTGTTGTTAAGTGAGTTTTGCCCCATTTTATGACCTTTCTTGCCACACTTGTTAAGTGAATCACTACCGTTGATAAGTTAGTAACCTAGTTTTTAAGTGAATCTGGCTTCCCCATTGACTTTGCTTGCCAGAAGGTAGCAAAATGTGGTGACATGACTCAGGGATACAGCAACGGTCGTAAGTATAAACCAGCTGTGAAGCATCTAATTACATGATCATGGGGATGCTACAAAAGTTATAACTGTGAAAAACGGCCATAAGTCACTTTTTTCAATGCCTCTGTAACTTTGAACAGTCAGTAAATGAACTGTTGTAAGTCAAGGACTACCTGCATTGAAAACTATCCTAGAAGAATACGGCAAGCCACTTCTGGATTGATAACATCAAACTACAAGCCATGTCCATTAGTGCAGTAGGAGTCAAGGCTGATTCAATAGAAACTTTCGCTTTATATATATGATTAAAATAATCCAAGGATCACTAATTCCAAGCCCTTCATAATTTTCTCCTTCAATTGTATTGCTGCACGTTTAGTGTAGTGGTTAAGGTGCTGGCTTTAGAAACTGGTAGTCTGTGAGTTCAGGCATTAAAGCTGGCTGAATGACTTTGGGCCAGTCATTCTCTTTCAGCCCAACTCACCTGTTGTTTTAGGAAAAATAGAAGGAGAAAGGAATATTGAGAATGCTCACTGCTTTGATTTATTTATAAAGTAGTCAAAGGCAAATAAGAATCTAATAAATAAATATTAAATACTGTAATTTAATAGTGATTTTCTTGAGGGCCCTTGGCAGTTGCATGTAAAATGTTAAGGGAGGTTGCGTACACTTGTTTTAAACCTTTGTAATCTGCTAAAAATCCTGGAATTCATTTATTTCCTCATCCCTATGAACTGGCTTGAAGGAGAATACTTATTTTCAAAGGCAGAAAAAGAAACCAATAATTTTAACTTACTTTCAAGGCCATGGTGAAAAACTGGGAATGGAAACTGAATCGAAAGAAATGTCAAAGCTAATTTTTACCCTTGAAATATGAAAAAGTTTGAAAATATAAATAGTCCTCAATTTACAATAGTGCATTTAGTGACTGTTCCAAGTTACAGTAGTACTGAAAAAAGTGCCCTTATGATCATTTTTCACACTTATGGCCATTGTAGCATCTCCATGGTCATGTGATCAAAATTCAAATGTTTGGCAACTGACTCATTTATGACGGTTGTAATATCCTGAGGTCATGTGATCTTTTGTACTCTTCTGCCAAATCAGTGGAGAAACCAAATTCACTTAACAACCATGTTAGTAATTTAATAATTGCAATGAAGCACTTAACTGTGGCAGGAACTGTTGTAAAATGGAGCCAGATTCACTTAACATCTCACTTAGCAACAGAAATTTTGGGCTCAATTGTGGTCCTAAATGGAGGAATATCTATGCTATACATGTCCATAGAGAGAGAGAAAGTCTCTATCAATCTCTTAACAGAAATCCAGTTTTCTTAATTTATTTAGTTCCTCATTTAGCAGCATGGACACAATCTGTTTGTGTGCCTTTCAGAAAGACAGGATGTTGTTGCAGTCTGTTTCCTGGATGGACGGGCCTTTTGGACAACGTAGGCAGAATTTGTTTTGTTCTAGTGATGCATTTCTCAACCTTGGCAGCTTTAAGCTTTGTGGACTTCAACTCCCAGAATTTCCCAGCTGATTGAGCAACACTGCACGCTAGTAGTTAATCTTTGAACAGAAGGCTGAACTCTGACACAAAAATTGATAATTAGGAAAAATACACATACCAAGGTATTGCAGTCTACATAAAGGTTGGATTCAGGCAAAGCACTAAACCCTCTGATTACAATACAGAGCCATGTTTCAGTCCAAAAAAGATTTTCATTTTCTTTTATAGTATCTTAAAAGGCTAAGGAATTTATAAACCTCTAACTAAATGGCAATTATGTTCAGGTGCAGTTCCTGAGAGCGGATGCTGCTGGGGAAAAAAAATTGGGATTTCTTTGAACTAAACAATCGTGCCTCCGAGCACATATCGAGCTCTCCTCTTTCATTCCAAATTTCGTCTAGACCCACTCCAGTTCAACACGTAAACTTTGAGAATAAAGCTTCCTGCCAGACGCTCCACTTAAGATCCGAATACTTTTTTGGGGGGTAAAATCTCCCTGCTCCTCTTCCCATTCCCCACTCCCATCTCCCTAATCTCACCAAATTCTCTCACGATGCCTTCGCCAATGCCGCTGGTACCCCCTGTTACTATGACGACTTTGCCCGGGTACCGCTGCCCACTTGCCATTCCGGCTGCAATCGAAATCAATCACGATTTGCAAGCGATTCAGCTAATCTTTGGGTACAAAGTTTCAGCCTCCTGTGATTCCGACCTTTACGCATGCCCCTTCTCGAGCGGCATGCTGGGAAATTGAGTCTTTGTTTTCTGCAGTTTTCCTTGGGTGGGGTGAGGGAATCATCATAATTCACTTTGAAAGAGGTTACTCCGGAGCAGAAAGTGGCAATAGGGCTGCAGTAATTTTATTTATTTCATTATTTATGTACAATCATAAATTATAGTACAGAGTTAAAATATAAAAATGAAATGAAATGAGAGCCTGCTTGCCTTATGGAAGAGAAGGGTGGTTGGTGGGGATATAATAACTGTCTTCCAGTAATTGAGGGGCTGTCATAGAGATGAGGGAATTGATTTATTCTCCAAAGCCCCAGATGGCAGGAAAAGAAGTAATGAAGCTCCCACAATGGGTAGAAGCTTGTTAAAGAGATATCCAATCTAGAAGTAAAGAGAATTTTTCTGACAATGAGAACAATTAATCATTGGAATAGCTTGCCTTCTGGAGTTGTAGGTGCTCCATCAATGGAGTTTTCAAAAATAGACTGGACAACCATTTGACTGGGATTATATAAGGTCCTTGCCTTGAGCAGGAGGTTAGACTAGAAGATCTCCGAGGTCCCTTCCAACCCTAGGATTCTATGTTCTATGTTCAATTTTGGGAGTTAAAGTCCACACATCTTAAAATTAGCACCATTGAGAAACATGCTCTAGACTAGTTGTAATTTTATAACAGTCTTATAAAACTGGAGTTTCATGGGCCCCAGACAACTGCAGGACTTGAAGTCCTCACTCAAGGACTTGAAGAAGATGCTAATAAATTGTAATCTTTATGAAGCAAGATAAATTTTATTAAATAAATGGGAAACAATGCTGGCTGCATTTATTTCATCTTGGTGAAATTCATGTGGAAAATTGAGTGGAATGAAGTTTAATTTTGCCCTGACAGTACATATCTTTTGGAATATGGCCTCCAGCATTACCTTCAAGGCTGAGGGTTGCCAGGAACTCCCCAAAAGCTGTGTGTGCCTGGTTGCTGGTAGGATGAACATCATTACATCAAATATCAATGAAAACAAATGAATAAAAGGGAGGAGGCTTCTTACTTTTACTTACCTGGTAAGTACTATTACCTGGTAAAGATATGTAAAGTCATTTCTCCTACTATATCCCTTGGCCTTCATCTCAAGCTTCAGTCTGTTGAATATATCATCTCTTTCAGAGGTGCTATCCAGCAGGTTGTGACCAGTTCTGGAGAAGCGGTAGCGGACATTTTGAGTAGTTCAGAGAATCGGCAAATACCACCTCTGATTGGCCCCACCCCCATCTATTCTCGGCCTCCCAGGTGCCAGCTGATCGGCTGGGTCTTCTTTTGTTGCCCTGCACAGGAGAACGGAGCTGGAAAGCAGGTTAGTGGTATGGGGAGGGAATGAGGATTTTGCAATAAGCTTCCCCCAGGAGTGGGGAGGGAATGGGGATTTTAAAGTCTCCTTCCTCCCCACTAATCCCTCCCCACTACAATCTTCAGAAGGTAGACCAGAGGAAGGATCTGCTGGCATTCTATTTTCCATCTCCATTTTGCTGCCATTGGGAACATGGAAGGCTGAAAGAACAACGCTAATCTTGTTCAGCATTGTTTCTAGTGGCTCTAGAAAGTGTATTTTGAGATGACATGACATGATATGACATGTAGGTAGGTAAGTTGGATACATTCTTGACTTTGATTGCAGATAGTCCTTGACTTATGATCTCCATTGAGCCCAAAATTTATGTTGCTAAGTAATTGTTAAGTGAGTTTTGCCCCATTTTACAACCTTTCTTGCCACAGTTGTTAAGTGAATCACTGTAGTTGTTAAGTGAGTAACACAGTTGTTAAGTGAATCTGGCTTCCCCATAGACTTTGCTTGTCAGAAGGTTGCAAAAAGTGACCACATGACCCTGGAACACAGCAACCGTCATAAACACGAATCAGTTGCCAAGCATCTGAATTTTGATCATGTGACCATAGGGATGCTGCAATGGTCATAAAGGGTGAAAAATGATCATAACTTACTTTTTTCAGTGCTGTTGTAACTTTGAACAGTCACTAAACAAATGGTTGTAAGTCGAGGACTACCTATATTTTTTATTCTCCTCTTGCTTTTTCCTACCTTTTGCCCCATTTTTGCCAATTAATTGTTTTGATATTTGCTGACATTTAACAAATAAATAAAACAAATATTTGCCTGATGCTTTAGTGGCCTATGCACTTGCTCTTATCTGAATATAAGAACTGACTGGGAATGTGCTGGGTGCAAACTAACCTGGAAATTATCCACAGAAATTTGGATAATTTTATTTCAGCACTTTAAGGGCATCCATTATTTTGGAGAAAAAATAGGTTATTTTACTGCAGTTATTAAGAAGAGAAGAAACAGATACAGCTCAGCAGTAGGGGTAGGAACCTTCATGTGAAAATTGTTTTTTGTTAATTCCAGGATGAGTGGGGAAAGGCAGAGAGAATGGTTTGTTTTGATAATCACCAAATAAAACCACAACAAAAGTAGGATTTATGAACTGCAATCCATAGTCCAGGATATCACCTGTTCAATGCTCATTAATGTTTTCCTCGCCATTAGTTCTAATTTCTCTATAATCCTCTCTCTTAATTGTTTATGATTACAGAAGTGCTAATTTCACTACATGTGCATTGATTGATACTAGTGCAATTTAAATGAAATGCAAATATTTTAGAGAATGAATAGATAATTGCAGGAGACTGGAAAAGAGTGAGATCATGAAACTGCAAATAAAGAAGCCGTGTGAAGAAAGAAAGTGTTAGGGTTGGCAGTAAGATGAGTAGAAACCAAGAGATTCTAACGGAATGTTCTCTGTAAACTAATTAACTGGCCAAGAATTCAAAGAATAGTATTTTTGTATGCAAGCTACACTTTGAAGCAAATAATAGATTGTATGATGCAATTAGGAATATGGATCTGAAAATTATTTATCAAAACCTAAATAGTTATGATAGATGGGCAAAACTAAGTGAATAATTGTAAGTTATCGATAAATGGCAAAAAAAAACCAGAACAAGTAAGATATTTTATTTAATATTTGTTAAAGATGGAGAGATAGAAAAAAATAAGATGGGGCAAAATGGGGCAAAAATTATAGTGTGGGATCCGTTGTGAGAAAATAATATTAAGAGAAGCAAAAATGGCTGTAAGACTTACTAGAACAGGGAGTCCCCAATCCACGGCCCACAGCCCAGTATCTGGCCATGGCCTGTTCAAAACTGGGTTGTGGGACAAATGGGCAAGCATGCATGTGTGAAGCTCCACTCGCTTGAGCAGTGCACAAGTATGTGCACTCGTGTGAGTGGAAGCACCCTCTGCTCATTTGTGTGCAGAGGTGGTATTCAGCAGGTTCTGACCTGTTCTGGAGAACCGCTAATGGAAATTTTGAGTAGTTTGGAGAACCGCCAAATATCACCTCTGACTGGAGATTTTACAGTATCCTTCCCCTGCCATACCCACCAAGCCATGCCCATAGAACTGGTAGTAAAAAAAATTGAATCCCACCACTGCTTGAATAGTCCTTCGAGCAAAACACCCACCACTCAAGTGCCCTCTGCTCATGTGGGTGGAGCTTCTCTCACGCAAATGTTTGCCGCTCACACAAGTGGCGCTTTGCACATGAGCGCAAGCACCTTTCGCTCATGCATGAAGTTCCATATGCCTGAGTGGAGGCCGCGCTCGCACAAATGGAGCCGTGCACTCACATACCTTGCCTACCCACGCCAGGCCAGAGCCACCAAGCTGGAAAAAGTTGGAGATTGCTACACTACAAGTAAAACTCAGCTTGAAATTTAACTTTTTAACTAACTAGATCAGCTAATCCAAAATAGAAATCCTAATGGACCTGCTGAATTCCTGTCTCTAAAGCAGTTCCTCAGCCTCATAACTTTAAGATGCATGGACTTCAATTCCTAGAATTTTCTAGCTAGCATTCTGTTGAAGTCCCGATGTCTTAAAGTTGCCATGGTGAGAAACACTGCTCTACAGCTGAGGTCCCCAACCACCAGGTTCAGTCCACTACCAGGCCTTGAGCCTTTCAAAACCAGGCCACGGAAGTGGCGAGCGAACGAGCGTGCGCACATCCCCATCCATGCGAGCACATGTGCTACTTTGGCGCAAGCAGTGGCTCGTGCCAATGGAGCTGCATGTGCGCTTGCCCACCGCACAGAGCCATCCCTTCCCTTCTCCCCATCCCACCTGCCCCCATCACCACTGGTCTGCAAAGCTGAAAAGGTTGGGGAACTCTGCTCTGCAGTGATTTCTCTTCCGACCTTTTTGGTTGATAGGATTGCCTCACAGAACTCTAGATGCAGGCAAATGCCTACAGGATATGTTACCCTGAGCTCCTGCTGGAAAAAAAATATGTTTCAATACTCTCCAAATTGCAGAACCACATTTTGGCAAATTCATTCTCTTTTCAGATCAATTTTCCCAAGTAATGTTCGCAAAACTAGGAAACCAAAGGAGATCGCTGGAATTCTGCTCCTGGATTATCACTGTCGAAAAACAATATAATTTGCGGATAGAACGTTGCTTTGAAAAAAATGACAAATGCCAAAGACTCAAGGGATAAGAATGGGATGAATTGGCCAAAATGTCATTGTTTCATTGTTTCATAAGAATTGAATACATGTTCCCCCAAGAGTCAATGATTCCAATTTCTTTTGTTTCTTCTAAATAGGTGTATGTGTATGTATCTGTATATGGGAAATTAGGTGAAAAATATTCATTAATTATTATTTGGAAGTAGCTTTGATGTGTAATGCTGAGACATTTTTTCTTAGAACTGTACATTAAAATATTTACATTCTAAAGCAAATTTATAAAGAACAGATAAACAAATTATTAGGACCATAAGGCAGTATAACTACATTAAAAGTGGGAAGGAAGTCCCTTACTAGGCATTGAAGTTACTGATTTCATTTACTTGGAATGTAGAACAAGTTTTCAGATGTTGGTTTTTCAAAT